ACCTATCTGCCCCCCAAGAAGTATGGGACAAGACCCGAAGGAGGGTAAGGGCCTTAGAGCACTCAACACGGAGGTAAGAGATATGGGGAGACCAAGACAAACGAGTGTCAAGGAATAACCCCAAAAGCTTCGCGGAATCTTTGTATTCAAGGGGATGACCAAAAAGTGACAAAGAGGGATGAAGAACAACCCGTTTCCGCGTAAAAGTCATGGCACAAGTCTTAGAAGTAGAGAACTTGAAGCCATGATCTGTGGCCCAAGACGACACGGCATCAATTGCAAGTTGAAGCCGGCATTGAAGGAGAGGCGAATCATCACCCTGACAGCAAAGGGTAAGATCATCGACATAGAGAGCGGAGAAGACACCAGAAGGAAGAGAGGAAAGAAGACCATTGAGGGCAACCAGAAAAAGAGTAGTGCTCAGAACACAACCCTGGGGCACCTTTGTATTGCTGAAAAGAGGCAGAGAGAGCGGTACCTAGGCGCACCCGAAAGGAACGACAAGAGAGGAAGCTGCAAAGAAAGAGAGGGAGGTGACCACGAAGGCCAAAAGAATGAAGTTGAGATAGAATATGATATCGCCAAGTGGTGTCGTAAGCCTTTTCCAGGTCAAAAAACACGGCAACAACGGAGGTCTTCGCAGCAAAAGCAGTACGAATATAGACCTCCAAGTTCACCAGGACATCTGTCGTGCTGCGGCACTTGTGGAAACCAAATTGAGAAAGGGAGTGGGGGTGATGGTGTTCCAGGAACCACATCAGACGAACATTAACCATACGTTCAAAGAGTGTGCAGACACAACTCGTGAGGGCAATAGGGCGACAGTCCTTAGGGGAAGTACCCTGAGACCCCGGATAGCGAACAGGGAGGACAACGGCATCGAGCCAGTCCTCAGTGACTGACGACGACTCCCAGATCCGATTATACAGACTCAGTAAATACTGAGACGTGCACGGAGGGAGATGGCGAAGCATCTCATAATGAATACCATCGGGGCCCGCCGCCGTAAAACCGCAGAGGGCCAGGGCAGAATGAAGTTCAGAGAGAGTGAAGGGATCATTATAGGGAAGCTGAAGACGAGTGCAGAAATCTAAAGGACGAGACTCAAGGACAGGTTTACGAAGAAGGAAAGATTGGGGAAGATGAAGACCAGAGCTAACAGAAGAAAAGTGGGAACCCAGTACGGAAGCGACCTGCAACGGGTCCGCCACAGAGTATCATGGAGGTGAAGGACCGGTGAAAAATCGGGAACAAACTTACCCTCTATCTTGCGGATACGCTTCCAGATCTGGGCCAGAGGAGTTTCGGACGTAATTGTTGAGACATAAGATGTCCAACATTCACATTTAGCCGTACGGATGGCCCTACGGGCCACCGCACTCGCTTTCCGAAAGAAAAGAAAAGAATCGGTCGTCTGCCTACGGCGGTGCCTCTTCCAGGCTGCACGCTTACAGCGGACAGCCCGAGCACAGTCCGCATTCCACCAGGGAACACACTTTAGTATACCCCGAGAGGAAGAGCGAGGAATAGAGCGGAGGGCAGCGTTGAAGACAGTGTCATGAAAAAGGAGGAGAGCGCGAGAGAGAGGCAGAAGGGAGAGGTCAGAGAAAACAGCACTGAGGGTAAATAGGGTCCAGTCCGCCTTAGCAAACTGCCACCTAGGGAAAGAGAGGGAAGGGCGAAAAGAGAAAAAGGAAACAAGGATGGGGAAATGATCACTTCCATGGAGGTCATCAAGAACCTGCCACGTGAAATCTAAGTAAAGAGAAGAGCAGAGAGAAAGATCAAGACAAGACAGGGTGCGAGTCCGCGAGTCCAAATGAGTGGGCTCACCAGAATTCAGAAGAGACAGGGAAGAAGAGAGGAGAAACGGCTCAAGAAGGCGACTCCGGGTATTCGTCAGAACGTCACCCCAAAAAGAATGACGACAATTGAAATCACCCAGCAGGAGGACAGGCTCCGGTAAGGAGTCCAGCAGGTGTTTTAAATCAGGAAGAGAAAGCGGGACACTCGGGGGGAGATAAATGGAACAAACTGTGTACCATTTCCCCACAAAGAAACGAGCAGCAGAACAATGGAGAGGCGAAGGAAAAAGTAAAGGAACAAAGGGAACATCAGCACGGATCTAGAGAGCAGAAGAATTAGAAGCCCCAGCAACGGCTGGTGGGGGGGGGGGGGGAAGAGAAAGCAATAGCCACGAAAACGACCAGGACGAGCACCAAGCATCGGCTCCTGGAGACACACACAAAGGGGCGAAAACCGCGAAATCAGAAGCTGGAGTTCGAGGAAATTGGCGTAATAACCTCGAACGTTCCATTGAAGAATAGACATCGACGAGAAGAGAAAGGACAAAAACCAGAGAACAAGGAAGAAACAAAGGCGAAAGAGCAACAGAGCACGTTAAAGAATATCAGGGTCGGGATCAGGGTCAGCAAAGTCAGGGTTAGGGGGCATGGGTAAACTGAGCAAAGACGGAGGGAAGGAGGCGGGAGAACAGACCAGAGGTGGGCGGGCGGGGTCCGGAGGAGAAAGAGGAGACAACGGAGGGGAGCAGGAAAGGACAGCAGCAGGAAGAGGGGGGGTAGAAAGAGGGGAGCGCACCTCAGCAAGGGCAGCAACCAAGAGGGAAGCGGGGGCTAAAGAAACCTCCATAGCAGGAACAGGGGGCGCAACCACCGAAATGGGAGGGGAAGGAGCGAGAGGGGCAGAAGTAGGGGCCGAGGAAGAAAGCGAAACCTTCTTACCCGCCAGGGAGGAGGAAGGAGAGGAGCCAGGCTTACGCTTCTGACTTAAAGAGACAGGTGTCCCAGCAACCACGTACTGGGCAACGGATTCTAGCATCTCAACAGAAGCTGAACGAGAGCACACATGACGGCCGTTTGGAGAGCGATGGACATCAGCCCGCGCCGACAGGCGGCGGGGCGAATCAAGAGACGGAGGGGAAGGATGGGAAGGAGGAACGGAGGGAGTCGAGGAAGAAGACACCGGAGACGAGACAGACCGGGTAGAAAGAAGGGGAACCCCAGACAGAGGACCAGGAGGTGGATCATTCGTGAGAGAACCCAAAGGAACAGAGGAGGGGGCAGTGAGCGTATCAGGGTCCAAGGCCCGAAAACGGTTGCAAGTCTGAGGAAGGTGGGAAGGACGAGGAGAGGAAGAGCGCAACACGCGAGCATAAGAGATATTAGCATAAGGCGGGAGCTGGCGAACCTGGTGTCTCGCCTCAGGAAAAGATGAACGCTCCCGGTGCTTCAAGTTGAGGACGGCTGCCTCAAGCTTGTAATGGACACACGCACGGGAGAAGGTAGGATGGGCCTCTGCGCAGTTGAGGCAACGAGCCTGGGGAGAAGTGCACTCCGACTTAGAGTGACCTTCGCCACCACACAAAGGACAGAGAGAGACAGTCCCGGAGCAGCGGAGGGCACCATGCCCAAACCTCCAGCTTTTGTTACAGAGCCGAGGAGAAGGAATGTACTCCTGGACAGAGCACCTGGCACCAGCAAGAATGACAGAGGGTGGAAGGGTCCTACCATCAAAGGTAATCTTCACAACCCAGAGGGGTTGACGGCGACTACCACGAAGGGGACGAGTAAACGTGTCCACCTAGAGAATAGAATGGCCCTGGGGAACAAGGATATGTCGAGTATCGTCGTGGCAGTCGCGCAGGTCCCGAACACCGGTCGCAACATGGGGCAGGAGCAGAATAGTGCCAACACTGGCATTCAACTGAGCGTTCTTCGAGACCCGAACAGGGGTCTCGCCAAGGCAGGATAAGGCAGCCAAGCGGGAAGCAGCATCCCGAGAAGGAGCAGCAACGACACGTGTACAAGAACGAGTGGGGTTAAAAGTAATGGAGGCATCCACGGAATCAACGAGATGTCGATGGAGGGAGAAATCGTCAAGAGGCGCAGAATCAAGAGGGAGGAGATCAAAATATTTGGGTTAAAAGGCGCAGTAGTTACAACTAGAGATGGAGCCGCGCCAGGGGACGAGGTAGTCACCACTGGGGGCTTGGGGCTCTGCCTAACCACAGAGGAGGGAGGGGAGCCAGGGGAAGGAGTCAGAGAGGCCAAAGGAGGAGCAAGGTCGGGGCCCAATGCAGCGGAGGCTACAGAGCCCGGTCTTCCAACACGGACCGACTCGGGGGCTTGGTCGCCCACCCCACGAGCCTGAGAAGGTAAAGCAGAAACAGTCGAAACAGGGGTCATCATTACGAAAAGGAAAATTCCTTCACGAATGCGCCCCCACACCCACCATGGAGCCACAGTTAGAGGCAGGACACCCAACAAGAAGCTATCGCTGATCTTGCCGGGGCCTCCCAGGGGTGCGTCGTGAGTATACGCCCCACAAACGCCACCTTACGAACCGACAGTCCGTCGAGATCGGGTTCAGTGACGAAAAGGGGATTGACAATAAAAATGTTTCCCTCGCTCTCGACGTCGGGTACTACAGTTCTACGGGTGCAAGAGTATGCCTCCTCAGACACCCGGGCGTCAAAATAGAAGAAGTCCAAGGGAAGAACCAGAACAAGCAAAAGGTCGGCAGGAAACGGCAAGCAGATAGGAGAAGAGGGGGGAGAAAAACGAATCAGAAGGAAAAGGAAAAGGTGCTCGGCAGAATTGGAGAGGACGGCAGCAGGAGCACAAGGCTAGAAAAGGACAGAGGACTGTCCCAAGGAGCATCACACTCCAGCAGCCGCCGACTAAGCCCCCCTCACGGCAACAACGAGCTGAGCGGGGAGGGGGGTCACTCTCAAACAAGCATCTCTTGTTGACTGGTTTATAAAGTTACAACATACTAAACATGTTCTTCACGGGTACACTTGTCAGTGCTGGTATCATTGCACAGTTAGTAATGATAAAGCTGCCCGTTCTATGTGGTAAAGCTGATAAATATTACATTAATATAGTCAAGTTCAAGTTAATGCGCTTCCTGCATTCTTAGTACAAGAGCAGTTAATGCAAATAAACTTCAAAAAGAAAATAAATTAATACAACTGATAAAAAATTAAATTTATTAATTAAAATTAAAGCCACAACTCTCAAGCCATTTAAAGTAAGATATGATCAGGAACAGTCTGGAAAATGAGGAGTTCTGGGTGGAAGGTGGAGCGGATGTCGGGCCAGGGTAGAGGAGACCCGGGGCACGCGGAGGGTCGCTTCATGACGGCTGGTCACACCTCCTGAGGAAACAACATTAAGGAACATTACCATCTACTGTCAAGTTAGGCATAGAAACATGGACTTTAAAAGTGATATTTGCACTGAAACTTATTTAACAAATGCAAAGTCATTTCGAGTATTTAGTGGATTTAGTAGGATCATTTACGAAGACTTTTTAACCGTCTACAATTAACAAGTCAAATGGTAAAGCCCTCGAGAAGTACTTTAATTTTTTATTGACAACTTCACTACTCTGGATTAGGAAATTAATAAACGTTGTCATAGAGTGTGGGGTTTAAATTTAATAAATTAGGTTTTTAGGACAAAATTCCATGATGCATATTTCTATTACGGTCACAAGTTGTATGCAATATACACGTCCTATCATACGAGGTGCAAGAAAGCATTTCACTTCCTAACTGTCGATCATGAACCAGTCAACCTCCAAGTGTATAATAGAAATTTTCCACCTGAAACTTTTGTAGATGCTCCATTGCTTTAATCAAAGCTCATATTGGAGGCGATATAAAAAATTGAGAGATTTTTTGTTGAGCGGTAGTATACTAAACTCCTTAAATAAATATTTAAATGCTAAAATACTGGTCCAAAGATTTGAGTGCCCAACTACTTGGGCTGGACGGTAGAGCGACAGTCTCACTGCATAGAGGTTTGCGTTCGATCCCCGACCGTCGAAGTGGTTGGGCACTATTCCTTCCCTCGTCCCATTCCAAATGCCTATCCTGACCCCTTTCAAATGCTATATAGTTGTAATGGCTTGGCACTTTCCTTCGGTAATTCCCTCCCTCCAAGATTTCTCTCAGACTTTTAAGAGTATAAAGTAAAGTCCCAAGAAGCGAATGTGCAATATTCTCTATGTCCCTCTAGAGATGGGTATGGTGTGCATAATAAATGAACTAAACTAACTCCCTTTAGACACCTTCACGAGTTCCTCAAAGAAAATAAATCATGACAATGAAGTGCTGTTTATACAATCTTAAATTTTACAGTTTTTGCATAAATAAAGACGAGCCCTTTCTAGGACAAGGCAATCCTTGGGGAACTTTAAGGGATCAAGCAACTAAGACAGTAAAGGAGAGATCAGTTAGGGTATACCGGCCAGTGCAATTAACACAAGTTAGAACATGAAACAATGGGTATAAATGGGACAAGTTTAGATTTAGGAAAGGCCCGGGTAAATACTGGTTCGGTAACAGTGCTATTGATTTGTGGAACCAATTAATGCACAACATAATAGAAGTAGGATACCTCGATTGTTTCAAGCGTAGGTTAGACATGAATGAGAATGGGTGGATATGAATAGGAGATGCCTCGTATTGACGAATAGGCGTTTTGCAGTTATCTTTATTCTTATGTTCTAATCCAGACAAGGGAACATACTACTCACCTTCAGTCTTTACGAACTTCCGGAAAGACGCATCTTCCTCCCTGTGCGTCTGTGGCACCGTGCCAGCGTGTGACGGCTCTCCTATCATCAAGTGGAGAGACCCATCTGCCGTCAGAGCCACGCCCACACCAGCTGGGAACGCTCCCAAAATTTCCTTGGTTGCCATCTGCAGCAAGTCCTTGGCCACCTTCTTAACCCCGTCGTGTTTAACCTTGGCCAACCCCACCTTCAGGAAGGACTTCAAGCCGCCCGCTTCACCTACTGTCTGGATGCCATGGTCAACCATCCGCTTCAGACCACAGCTGCTGGACCCTCCACGACGCCCAGCGTTAACCGCTTTCTTAATTGCCGTCTGAGACACCTTGTTCAAGGCCATCTTGGTCACGTGACGCGCCGTCTTGCAGAACGTGTTATCGCCGTGGGTGACAGGCGCCATAGTTCACAGGAGGTCTACACCAGATGGTCCAACAATTGCCGGATAATTTTTCCAGGCTTTTGAAAGACAAGCTTAACTAGTAAATTTAAAGGCAACAAAAGGCTTTTAAAAAGTTTGATTTCGAGGATTAGATCACAATCAATTCACGTGAAGTGCGCGTATTAACAGCAACAGAATATAACAGTTCCGTCAGCGAGAATCTTTGTTCCTATTCAGTTGAACTATTTGCAAGTGGAACAAAACTGTGAACCATGTTCAAAGCCTTAAGTGCCTTGAAGATATTATTTGCACCAATACATAAGCAGAAATTCTTCCCAGAACCTAAACGCTTCCTATTAGAACAACAATCGTTAAAAACGTATCATTTGACGAATCAATTAAAGAAATGACCGCAAATACTTGACACCTGCCGGGAGTCTTGACGGCATCAAGACAACTGACTGGCAAGTGTCGTTGCCAGCCACCTGACAACAGTTCTTCCCGCCAAGCTGCCCATGAGCGTGAAGCGGGTAAATAAGTTTCAACTTGAAACTTCCCAAAAAGCGAGTTTTCTCTATGTTCATGAGCCATATTGTAAGATTTTATTGTAAAATATTTTCATTATTATGCTAATATGTTGTCTTGTCAGTATTTGACACACTGTTATCCAAGGATAACCAACCCGTCCTCAGACGACGTCCATGCCATCCAGCAACCCGTCCTCAGACGACGTCCATGCCATCCAGCAACCCGTCCTCGACTCAAGTCCATTACATCCAGCGGTCAACCCCACAGACGCATTCATAAATATTTACATGCTGCTCATTCAAAACGGGAATTTTCTCAAATATAAATTAATATTATAATATATTAGCACATTGTGCATATATAGTCATAGGTTAGGTTAGGTTAGGTGTTTAGGTTCTGTTGGCGATTATTTGTATTTGTAGCACGTGGGTGAAGCATTTATAACGGTGTGGTTCGAACAAAATTCGTCAGTGAAGCACTTGTTCCGGATATGTTCGAACGTCAGCAGTTGTGAGTCGTGTGTGAACCGTTTTTCATTCATAAACAGGGGGTTTGGCGGGTGCATAGAATCACTTTTGGATCTTTGTTTGGAGGACGGGCTGCATCCAGCGGTCGACCCCAAAGATACAATCATCAATGTTCACATGCTGTTCATTCAAAGAAGAAATTTTCTCACATATAAATTAATATTGTGATATATTCCCATACTGTATATTTAGGCATTTGTTAGTCTAGGTTCTGTTGGCGATTATTTGTATTTGTAGTACGTGGGAGAAACATTTACAGCGTTGTGGTTCGAACAAAATCCGTCAGTGAAGCGCTTGTTTCGGAAGTGTTCGGACGTCATCACTTGTGAGTCGTGTGTAAACTGCTTTTCATTCTTAAACAGCTGGGGTTTGGCGGGTGGATGGAATAGACTTTGTCATTTGTTTAGCGGACGGGCTGATTTCAGAGTTGTAGTTAGAACAAAAAGTTGCCTACGCGGTTTAGTGCCTTCTTTTGATAATTACTTACTTACTTGAACAAAAGTTGTCAGCGAAGCACTTGTTCGAGAAATGTTCGAACGTCATCAGTTATGTGTCGTGTGTAAACAGTTTATCATACATAAACAGTGGCTTGCCCAGCTAGCCCAATAAATAAAAAAAAACTAAGTTCATTCCATGCACCCGCCAAACCCCAACAGTTTATGAATGAAAAACGACTCAGGACTCACAACTGCTGACGTTCGAACACTTCCGGAACAAGTGCTTCACTGACGAATTTTGTTCGAACCACAACGCTGTAAATGCATCATCCACGTACTACAAATACAATAATCGCCAACAGAACCTAAACACCTAACCTATGCCTATATATGCACAATATGAAAATATATTAAAATATTGATTTATATTTGAGAAAATTCCTGTTTTTAATGAACAGTATATTGAAATTTATGAATGCGTCTGTGGGGTCGACCGCTGGATTGAATTGACTTGAGTCAAGGATGGGTTGCCTTGTCAACTGCTCTCCACTCACCACTCTCTCTCTCCCCTCATTCACTAGTTGATTAACAGTCACGAGGCGGGATCAAAGAGCCGATGCTTAACCCCTTCCAGCACAACTAGGTGAGTACTACATCACGGCACAGCGAAAAGCAATGCAACCTGTGATCCACCAATAGTCACGAGGCTGCCAACCTGTGATCCACCAGGAGCCCCGAGGCTGCCAACCAGTGATCCACCAGGAGTCACGAGGCTGCCAACCTGTGATCCACCAGGAGCCCCGAGGCTGCCAACCAGTGATCCACCAGGAGTCACGAGGCTGCCAACCTGTGATCCACCAGGAGCCCCGAGGCTGCCAACCTGTGATCCACCAGGAGCCCTAAGGCTGCCAACCTGTGATCCACCCGGAGCCCCGAGGCTGCTAACCTGTGATCCACCAGGAGCCCCGAGGCTGACAACCAGTGATCCACCAGGAGCCCCAAGGCTGCCAACCAGTGATCCACCAGGAGCCCCGAGGCTGCCAACCTGTGATCCACCAGGAGCCCCGAGGCTGCCAACCAGTGATCCACCAGGAGCCCCAAGGCTGCCAACCTGTGATCCACCAGGAGCCCCGAGGCTGCCAACCTGTGATCCACCAGGAGCCCCGAGGCTGCCAACCTGTGATCCACCAGGAGCCCCGAGGCTGCCAACCTGTGATCCACCAGGAGCCCCGAGGCTACCAACCTGTGATCCACCAGGAGCCCCAAGGCTGCCAACCAGTGATCCACCAGGAGCCCCGAGGCTGCCAACCTGTGATCCACCAGGAGTCACAAGGCTGCCAGCCAGTGATCCACCAGGAGCCCCGAGGCAGCCAACCAGTGATCCACCAGGAGCCCCGAGGCTGCCAACCTGTGATCCACCAGGAGTCACAAGGCTGCCAACCTGTGATCCACCAGGAGCCCCAAGGCTGCCAGCCAGTGATCCACCAGGAGCCCCGAGGCAGCCAACCAGTGATCCACCAGGAGCCCCGAGGCTGCCAACCTGTGATCCACCAGGAGTCACAAGGCTGCCAACCAGTGATCCACCAGGAGCCCCGAGGCTGCCAACCTGTGATCCACCAGGAGTCACAAGGCTGCCAGCCAGTGATCCACCAGGAGCCCCGAGGCCAACTTAACTTGTGTTAAGTTAGGTGTTTCTCAACGAGTGGATCGGAATCGATTAGTCAGACGTCAAGAGTCTCGCTAATGCAACCATAGTCTTTCTGACGCCAATCTAAAGTAAATCAAACACCAATTGTATTAGTGGTTAAGTTAGTAAATAAACTATTGGTAAGCTTTTTTTGATGTTTCCGTTGAGGCACTTCTGAATACTGCCAACTATTAGGAGTCTCGTCGTGGACGTGGTGGTGAGCAGACGTGTTTTGGTTCGCTGTGCTACTGGCGTCTGGTGGGTGGACGTGTTTGTCGTCGCTGTTGGCCGGCGTGTTGACTGATGGGGGGATAGCTCACGCTGGGTGTGGTATATGTGCCATCATGGGCTCCTACACACCTCCACTCAAGGGGAAGGAGTCCGTAGGACTCAAGTTCAGTTGTAATACTGATTATGATCTTGTCTGGGCGACGATTGTCGATGTGCTACAGATAAAGATGGACGAAATATTTGGTTACCAACCACTGCCAGGAAACATAGTGGTGAAATTTGAAAACAATGTGGCGTTTTCAGAGTTTCTCAAGTAGTATCATGATGACATTATCAGTTTACCTAATGGGAAAGGATCAGTACAAGTGGTTAATTTGAGCAAAACGTTTACATACGTTTCTGTGAGGGATGCGCCTTTTGAAATGTTGAATGGAACTATGATTCATATACTGGAACAAAATAGGAAAGTGGACAATGTTCGTTTCAATAAATATACCTATGGACCAGGGAAGGGGTGCTTCAGTGGAACAAGAACAGTAAAAATGGAACTTCAACGTAATATCCTTTATCAGTGTCAGTGGCAGGTTATTATATTAAATTTATCTACAGTGGACCACTGATAACTTGTGTTAAGTGTGGGCGTACTGGTCACATGGCTGCTGCCTGCCAGGTGGAGGCAACAGAACGGATCAACATTTTTCGTGAACATGACTTTCCGCCATTAATAGAGGACAGTGTGTCAGGAAATGATCCCACTGTTGTAAATACTGCAGTTCCAGGTGGGGTAGATGAAGTAACCCACAACTCTGTATGTGAGACGTCTGTGGGAGTGAGGACGGTGCAGGTAACTTAGGTCAGTACGGTAAAGGTGAAGCAGACAAGGACGATGCAGACGACACTGCTCAGGACGCTATACCTGCTGTCGTCCAACCTGGTGAGGGTGAGGTAAGTCAGGACAATGTACATGTTGACGCCCATAACATAGTCACTGAAGCTGCCGTGAGCTGCGATGCTGATGGTGGTGTTGACCCTGGTGAGGTGACGATAGCACAAGTGATTGGTTGTCAACTGGATGTAGAGGATGACATCATGCGGGATAGTGATGTAGAAATGTCTGTGCAGAGGATAACTCCACCCTCTTCTGTAAGGTCTGGTAGCAAGGGTAAGGGTCGTGTGAAGGCTGGGGTGTGAAGGCTGGTTATGTAACCAGTCATGTGAAGACATGTGGGAAAAAACTAAGCCAGGGTATTGATCTGATACGTATGAAGGACTGTGCCGCTAAATTGAGTCTCTGAAAAAATTGACCAGGTGGATGCCATTGAAGTTCACCGTGACCAAGGCCACGAAGAGTCACCGAAACGTAGCGAAGGCACACTTCAACCGGTGCGTAGGGATCATGGTAAAGTGAACAGCGATAAGGAGTGGTGGGATATTGTGGAACATGAACAGAATTGAGCCGCGAGGGAAAATATTACACTTAGATTTTGAAAAGGGAAAGAAGACACTAAGTTAGTGTCGAGTGAGATAATGATGGATAAAAGAGTAATTTTGTTTTCTCTCAAAGTTAAATTTGGGAAGCCTATTAATTTTAATTGTGCTACTTTGAACATTAATGGACTCAATTGTAGAAATAAACAGTTGGAGCTGATATCATTGTTTAAATATCATAAATTGGATGTACTTATAGTGCAAGAACACAATGTACAAGATGTTAAAAACTTGATGTGTTGCTTGATTACTTTGAAATCTTAATTAATCCAACGAACTTGTTGAAAGGTGGTACGATGATATTGATTGCTAAGCGAGCCCACATTGTCGGAAAATCCGACACCATTTAATAATATTACATGCAATTGCAGATAATATTGCTGCTGTGTTGTATACATAAGTTACCCCATAGAAAATATAGCTTGTAGTGGAATTTTCCGTCAATAGAAAACGGGATATCATCGCCACGTAGTACTATAAATTCACCACCTATTGTGTTGGGAATTATTCTTAAATACATTAGTCTTTGGACTTTTACCATCATAAAAACATCTCATTTAAATTAACTTAATTATCAGTATCAACATAAAGTAAGTGTGACCCTTCTATCACTTACTGACATCTAGACAAAGTAGGCCAGTAGCGTCAGGAGGAGGAAGAGGTCAGCCATTGTTGTTAAAAGCAGAGGCGCAGTGGAGCAAATTCAGCTCCTATAATTACTCTTGGACGAAGTGTGATGGAGATCAGAGTAGTGTTCTTCCATCATCAACACACTGTCAACATAATCAAGGAAAGTGTCCTACCGAAACCCGTTTATCTAA